CTATGGTAAACGTATGTTAACATTGCCAAAGCAAGTGAAGTAGATAGTAAACAAAAGTGAAATAAACAATAAATATTAACAGTAAACATTACACTCAGAAGTTCCAAAAGAATAAAGACATTTCAAATGTCATATTATGTCTATATACAGTGTTGTAACAATGTGCAAATAGTTAAAGTACAAATGGGAAAATAAATAAACATAAATATGGGTTGTATTTACAATTGTGTTTTTTCTTCACTGGTTGCCCTATTCTTGTGGCAACAGGTCACAAATCTTGCTGCTGTGATGGCACACTGTGGTTTTTCACCCAGTAGATAAGGGAGTTTATCAAAATTGGGTTTGTTTTCGAATTCTTTGTGGATGTCTGTAATCTGAGGGAAATATGTGTCTCAAATATGGTCATACATTTGGCAGGAGGTTAGGAAGTGCAGCTCAGTTTCCACCTCATTTTGTGGGCAGTGTGCACATAGCCTGTCTTCTCTTGAGAGCCAGGTCTGCCTACGGCGGCCTTTCTCAATAGCAAGGCTATGCTCACTGAGTCTGTACATAGTCAAAGCTTTCCTTAAGTTTGGGTCAGTCACAGTGGTCAGGTATTCTGCCACTGTGTACTCTCTGTTTAGAGCCAAATAGCATTCTAGTTTGCGCTGTTTTTTTGTTAATTCTTTCTAATGTGTCAAGTAATTCTCTTTTTGTTTTCTCATGATTTGGTTGGGTCTAATTGTGTTGTTGTCCTGGGGCTCTGTTTGTGTTTGTGAACAGAGCCCCAGGACAAGCTTACTTAGGGCTCTCTCTCTCTCTCTCTCTCTCTCTCTCTCTCTCTCTCTCTCTCAGGGTCTTTATTGGCATGGGAAACATATGTTTACATAGCCAAAGCAAGTGAAATACATAATAAACAAAAGTCAAATAAACAATAAAAAATGAACAGTCAACATTACACTCACAAAAGTTCCAAAATAATAAAGACATTTCAAATGTCATATGTGCACATAGTTAAAGTACAAAAGGGAAAATAAATAAACTAAATATGGGTTGTATTTACATTGGTGTTTGTTCTTCACTGGTTGCCATTTTCTTGTGGCAACAGGTCACAAATCTTGCTGCTGTGATGGCACACTGTGGTATTTCACCTAATAGATATGGGAGTTGATCAAAATTGGATTTGTTTTTGAATTCTTTGTGGGTCTGTGTAATCTGAGGGAAATATGTGTCTCTAATATGGTCATACATTTGGCAGGAGGTTAGGAAGTGCAGCTCAGTTTCCACCTCATTTTGTGGGCAGTGTGCACATAGCCTGTCTTCTCTTGAGAGCCAGGTCTGCCTACAGCTCATTGAGTCTGTACATAGTCAAAGCTTTCCTTAATTTTGGGTCAGTCACAGTGGTCAGGTATTCTGACACTGTGTACTCTCTGTTTAGGGCCAAATAGCATTCTAGATTGCTCTCTTTTTTTGGTTAATTCTTTCCAATGTGTCAAGTAATTCTCTTTTTGTTTGATCATGATTTAGTTGGGTCTAATTGACCTCTCCATCACCCCAGAGACAGTCCTCCTTAACTCATTATAGGGGGTTCGCTCTGTCTCCAAACACACACACACACACACACACACACACACACTCCAACACTCACTGAATACTGATAAGGCAACACCATCACATGAAAGATGTTAGAAAACTATATTGCACAATAACATGTGTAATATGTATACAGTAATCAGGCGTAGGAAGCGGGGGTCGTGCTCTCAATGCTTGGTAGTGAGGAAACGCACACATACAAACACACACACACACACACACACACACACACACACACACACACACACACACACACACACACACACTGGAGTCACACTCTCAAGCGCTAATGAAGGGATGTGTTTTAATTAATAACAGTGTGAGCGGTAGTCCCACATCTGACAGATGAACTATTGCACTGAAATGAACTCACAAACCACAAACACACACATACACAGAGGAGTGCTCATAGACACACCACGCACGCACACGCACACACATACACACGCACACACAGCTTTGTGCAGAAGTGAATCTCTTTGCCAGTCTCATCTCTACCCTCCTGTGGCTCTAACTCAAACTACACCCTCCTCTCGCTATCAAACACAGGGGGTGCATCTCAATCCTCTACAGCCGTTTCCTCTCCTCATCCCTCTCCTCCATCTGAATAGTATACAAACATCTAACAAACACCTTCTGTAATACGTTTCACCTCTCCATTTGTTTTCAGATCAGAGAGGAGAGGCGAGAGGAAAGGAGATGAGGAAAGGAGGCTACTTCAGACTATTGAGAATTATCCCACCCCCAAAAAAGAGAGCGGAGACAAGGAAAGCAGGCCACTGAGAGACTATTGAGAGACCCTGCACAGCGATGTTATGCATCGCCCTGGACAAACAGTGTGGGTGGTTTCCCCGGTGTTGTGAGACATTGCATCCCAAGTGCTTATATAACTCCCTCTCTCTCCCCACCTCCTCCAGTGGATCAGTCATCCCTTTATACTGCACTGGAGAGGAGAGAAAATACACCATCCTCCTCTCTTCTCACAGAAACCAGCAGGCACTCGATTCAATCAACTCTGACCACTAAATACAGGAGGTGTGTGTGTGTGTGTGTCTGTGTGAGGATGTGTTTGTCTGTGTGTCTGAAACTTGACATGAATGCACAGAAAGTGCTTATATACAGTGAGGGAAAAAAGTATTTGATCCCCTGCTGATTTTGTATGTTTGCCCACTGACAAAGAAATGATCAGTCTATAATTTTAATGGTAGGTTTATTTGAAGAGTGAAAGACAGAATAACAAAAACAATATCCAGAAAAACACATGTCAGAAATGTTATAAATTGATTTGCATTTTAATGAGGGAAATAAGTATTTGACCCCCTCTCAATCAGAAAGATTTCTGGCTCCGAGGTGTCTTTTATACAGGTAACGAGCTGAGATTAGGAGCACACTCTTAAAGGGAGTGCTCCTAATCTCAGCTTGTTACCTGTATAAAAGACACCTGTCCACAGAAGCAATCAATCAATCAGATTCCAAACTCTCCAACATGGCCAAGACCAAAGAGCTCTCCAAGGATGTCAGGGACAAGATTGTAGACCTACACAAGGCTGGAATGGGCTACAAGACCATCGCCAAGCAGCTTGGTGAGAAGGTGACAACAGTTGGTGCGATTATTCGCAAATGGAAAAAACACAAAAGAACTGTCAATCTCCCTCGGCCTGGGGCCCCATGCAAGATCTCACCTTGTGGAGTTGCAATGATCATGAGAACGGTGAGGAATCAGCCAAGAACTACACGGGAGGATCTTGTCAATGATCTCAAGGCAGCTGAGACCATAGTCACCAAGAAAACAATTGGTAACACACTACGACGTGAAGGACTGAAATCCTGCAGCGCCCGCAAGGTCCCCCTGCTTAAGAAAGCACATATACAGGCCCGTCTGAAGTTTGCCAATGAACATCTGAATGATTCAGAGGAGAACTGGGTGAAAGTGTTGTGGTCAGGTGAGACCAAAATCGAGCTCTTTGGCATCAACTCAACTCGCTGTGTTTGGAGGAGGAGGAATGCTGCCTATGACCCCAAGAACACCATCCCCACCGTCAAACATGGAGGTGGAAACATTATGCTTTTGGGGTGTTTTTCTGCTAAGGGGACAGGACAAATTCACCGCATCAAAGGGACGATGGACGGGGCCATGTACCAACAAATCTTGGGTGAGAACCTCCTTCCCTCAGCCAGGGCATTGAAAATGGGTCGTGGATGGGTATTCCAGCATGACAATGACCCAAAACACACGTCCAAGGCCACAAAGAAGTGGCTCAAGAAGAAGCACATTAAGGTCCTGGAGTGGCCTAGCCAATCTCCAGACCTTAATCCCATAGAAAATCTGTGGAGGGAGCTGAAGGATCGAGTTGCCAAACGTCAGCCTCGAAACCTTAATGACTTGGAGAAGATCTACAAAGAGGAGTGGGACAAAATCCCTCCTGAGATGTGTGCAAACCTGGTGGCCAACTACAAGAAACGTCTGACCTCTGTGATTTCCAACAAGGGTTTTGCCACCAAGTACTAAGTCATGTTTTGCAAAGGGGTCAAATACTTATTTCCCTCATTAAAATGCAAATCAATTCATAACATTTTTGACATGCGTTTTCCTGGATTTCTTTTTTTGTTATTCTGTCTCTCACTGTTCAAATAAACCTACCATTAAAATTATAGACTGATCATTTCTTTGTCAGTGGGCAAACGTACAAAATCAGCAGGGGATCAAATACTTTTTTCCCTCACTGTATAGTAGCATAGCTCTGAACAACTCAGATGAACTAGGTTGCTGTTACAGTTCAGCAGAGTACAATAAGTACTGAACAAAAATACCAACCAACCCACCAACCCTGAAACCCACCAACCAACCAACCCTGCAACCAACCAACCAACCAACCAACCCTGAAAGCCCCCAACCAACTAACCAACCCTGCATCCCACCAACCAACCAACCAACCCTGCAACCAACCAACCCTGCAACCAACCAACCAACCCTTAAACCAACCAACCGTGCAACCCACCAACCAACCCTGCAACCAACCAGCCAACCAACCAGCCAACCAACCAGCCAACCCTGCAACCAACCAACCCTGAAACCAACCACCCAACCAAACAACCACTCACTCACTCACTCAGTCACTCAAGGGTTTCCCCAACCAACACTGCAACCCACAACCAAGCGGTGTGTTCCAATGATCCAAAGGTGACAAAATCTGTCAGGGGGACACAAAGCGCCGGAAGTGATGTCACAGCATGTGACCACCACCTCCGCTTCACGTGTCATTTCCCCCTTCTCTTCTCCTGGAAAACGATCTGTATCTGACAGAAATGTGTGTGCTTGCTTCTACTGTCTTATTCAGACAGTATTTCTATAGTAGTGCATGTGGAATAACAGTAGTGTGCTTTCAGCAAGCACAGTAATAACCAGTAATAACCAGTAATAGACTCACATTGATGAGTTCTATCTCCCAGATCTTCTTGGCCAGTTCCATGGAGGTGTATCCGTTGATGAGGAAGGACTTGGTGTAGTCTCCCAGCTCCAGAGACTCCAGCCACTCAGCCACTGACGTGGGGTTGTTACCGTCATAGCCGATAGGACGCACCTGGAGGGGGAAGGCGGAGGGGACAGACTGTCACTGGATGATATGAAGAGCATTGATACAGGACACTCTTAAACTAGGGTTGGAAAGGAGGGAGGGAGGCAGAGAGGGAGGGAGGGAGGGAGCGGAGAGGGAAGGAGAGACTGTCAATAAATGGCAGATATATAGATGACATAAAAACTACAGTGCACCATCAAATGCTCAAACTGGACAAAGGCAGATGGAGGGAGGGAGGGAGGGAAAGGATAGCCTTGCTGCATATAAAATGCTGAATTTAATATAGACATTTTATATAGAAATGTAATATAATCCATAACCCATGTAATATAATTCCATATCAACCCTTAGCACCCAAGGACATGATAAGCATTATAGAGAAAATCCCACCTAGCCATTCAAAGGGAGAGACAGGGCTAGTTCCATATTGCTTACAGAATAGCTATCTAATCCCTTCAGCTCTACAAGAAGCGCAGGGGCTAAAGGTTTATTTAGGATTAGGCAAATGCATCTTATTTTTCCCTATTTGTCCTTGGTGTGGTGTAGGCCTATGTGACCTGAGAATATATATTCCACAGTAAGTATGTCTAGGCGCTTTCTTTTGCAATACAGTCAACACGACTTCAGAGGAGAAGAGTATTCCGCTTTTTCTCATAGAAGAGGATATACAGTTGAAGTCGGAAGTTTACATACACTTAGGTTGGAGTCATTCAAACTTGTTTTTCAACCACTCCACAAGTTTCTTGTTAACAAACTATAGTTTTGGCTATACATCTACTTTGTGCATGAAAAGTGATTTTTCCAACAATTGTTTACAGACAGATTATTTCACTTTTAATTCACTGTATCACAATTCCAGTGGGTCAGAAGTTTACATACACTAAGTTAACTGTGCCTTTAAACAGCTTGGAAAATTCCAGAAAATGATGTCATCGCTTTAGAAGCTTCTAATTTACATCATTTTAGTCAATTGGAGGTGTACCTGTGGATGTATTTCAAGGCCTACCTTCAAACTCAGTGCCTCTTTGCTTGACATTATCGGAAAATCTAAATAAATCAGAAAATAAATTGTAGACCTCCACAAGTCTGGTTCATCCTTGGGAGCAATTTCCAAACGCCTGAAGGTACCACATTCATCTGTACAAACAATAGTACGCTAGTATAAACATAATGGGACCACGCAGCCGTCATACCGCTCAGGAAGGAGACGCGTTCTGTCTCCTAGAGATGAATGTACTTTGGTGCGAAAAGTGCAAATCAATCCCAGAACAACAGCAAAGGTCCTTGTGAAGTTGCTGGAGGAAACAGGTACAAAAGTATCTATATCCACAGTGAAACGAGTCCTATATCGACATAACCTGAAAGGCCGCTCAGCAAGGAAGAAGCCACTGCTCCAAAACCGCCATAAAAAACCCAGACTGCACATGGGGACAAAGATCGTACTCTTTGGAAAAATGTCCTCTGGTCTGATTAAACAAAAATATAACTGTTTGGCCATAATGACCATCGTTATGTTTGGAGGAAAAAGGGGGATGGCTTGCAAGCCGAAGAACACCATCCCAACCGTGACGCACAGGGGTGGCAGCATCATGCTGTGGGGGCGCTTTGCTGCAGGAGGGACTGGTGCACTTCACAAAATAGATGGCATCATGAGGAAGGAAAATTATGTGGATATATTGAAGCAACATCTCAAGACATCAGTCAGGAAGTTAAATCTTGGTCGCAAATGGGTCTTCCAAATGGACAATGATCCCAAGCATACTTCCAAAGTTGTGGCAAAATGGCTTAAGGACAACAAAGTCAAGGTATTGGAGTGGCCATCACAAAGCCCTGACCTCAATCCTATAGAAAATTTGTGGGCAGAACTGAAAAAGCGTGTGTGAGCAAGGAGGCCTACAAACCTGACTCAGTTACACCAGCTCTGTCAGGAGGAATGGGCCAAAATTCACCCAACTTATTGTGGGAAGCTTGTGGAAGGCTACCCGAAACATTTGACCCAAGTTAAACAATTTAAAGGCAATGCTACCAAATACTAATTGAGTGTATGTAAACTTCTGACCCACTGGGAATGTGATGAAAGAAATAAAAGCTGAAATAAATCATTCTCTCTACTATTATTCTGACATTTCACATTCTTAAAATAAAGTGGTGATCCTAACTGACCTAAGACAGGGAATTTTTACTAGGATTAAATGTCAGGAATTGTGAAAAACAGAGTTTAAATGTATCCTACTTTTAAGAAGAGTTTGGGATTTTGGGGTGAGCATATCATGTGACATTTTCCTAAAATGTGCATCCTTTTTTTCCACACAGTGAGGGAGAAGAGAGAGGCAGGAAGAGGGAGAGTATTTACCTGTCGTTTGAAAACTTTGCAGGGATGAGAGGAGGAAAGTGCTGACTGCAAGTTACGGAGATTGGTTACCCAGAGTTCCTCTCTCTCTCTGTATTGTACCACACCTGCTCAGCGCTCTCTCTCTCTCTTACTCTCACTCTCTCTCTCTCTCTCTCTCCGTCTCTGCTCCCTCATGCTCAATATCTCTTCTCTCTTTCCTGCTCTCTCTGTCATTTGAGCCTCCACTGTTTCATCCTCTCTCCTCATCCTATTTAATTCACATCTCTCACTTAATTGGCTATATTGGTTGTGTGTGTGTGTGACTGCTATTAAAGGAAAGATTCAACCATTTTGAATGGTCATTTCATGTTTTCATGTGTATCTGAGCTATTCGCCAATAGAACATCGCTCAGAGATGTACAAATACGATATAACATTCAAAATGGGTCAATCTTTCAATTAACACAGTAAGGGCAAAACAGATTTTCTCAATATTTCATTTAGACTGGTGCTCATCTTCTAATGTTATCCCCTCCACAGAATCCTAATGATGTTACATTCATTTTTACTTTGTAGTACACACAAACGCACACACCCACACACACACAGTACTGACCCTGGGCAGTAGGCGTATGGCCTGTAGCAGCCTCTGTCTGTGGGATGAGTTGAGGATCCCGATCTCCAGCAGGTCCTGGTCCTCCACCACGTTACTGCCCTGCATGGGGAACATACACATGACATCATCAGTCTATTGATCAGTGACATCATCAAACTGAGACAGAGTTGCTAAGCGGCTTCAGTGAGCCCAATTTGTGTATCTCTCATGCAGAGACTTCTGTTCAATACTCCACCCATCCCAATGCCTTGTTGTGAGGGGTATCTTGCATAAATGGCTACCACACACGAACGCACGCACACACACACACACACACACACACACCTGGCCCTTCAATCAGCACCATGCTGAGTTCCACATTTTATTAATCTGATGTGAGACCTTACGAGACCTATCACTCTCTTCTCCTACTGAGACACAGAGAGAGAGAGCGAGAGAGAGCGAGAGAGAGCGAGACAGACAGACAGACAGACAGACAGACAGACAGACAGACAGAGAAAGAAAGAAAGACAGAAAGAAAGAAAGAAAGAAAGACAGTGAACAAAGGACAGAGGAGAGAGGGAGAGATAGACAAAGAGAAGACAGAAAGAGAGAGTGTTTGAGAGAGAGAGAGAGAGAAACATAGGGGCACCAGAGAGGTGAGGTGTTGAGGGTTGTCTCTCTGTGGAGCCCCAGCCTCAGGCTGTACTAAAGCCCAGACACAGATCACACCTGGTAGGGGGATTGAACTTGTCACTCCTCCACATCTCATTCCTCCCCTCTCTCTTGGCCTGGCTAGACAATAACACAGATAGCTATCGATCTGGAGCACTGAAGAGAGGGATGAAGGAGGAATGGAACGGCAGATTCTCACAGCCATCTTTTTCATTTCATCCTCAACCTGCTGCACTCTACAGACCAAGAGCCATTGGCTTATGTTGTATTTATGTACTGTATGGGGAGGTATATTAGGGTAGTGTGATACTATTGTATTATATTAGGGCATAAATAGAGTTGTATTGAATTTACTAGCCAAACGTGTTACAATATGGGGAATAGGGGGCCATTTGAGACACACACAGCCTCCTCCAGTGCCCTTGTGCGATAGACCTCTCAGGCTGATTAAGAGAGCCCAGAACACCCAGCATCTGTTACAGTCACCGCCCTACACGCCAGACCAGAGTAATGGCACCCAGAGCCGGGGCAGAGACGGATGGCGGGGGCTTCAAAGACATGACTAATCGCTCGCCGCTGGTCTCTGACAGGTGGAGATAGAGAGGCTGAGGGTGTTTGTCTTGTTCTGTCTGCCCTTCTTTTCTATTAATAAAATCTCTCTCTTTCCCTCCCTCCCTCTCTCTCACACACACACACACACACACTATGGCTGCGTTTAGACAGGCAGCCAAATTCTGATGTGATTGGTCTTTTGACCAATCACATCAGATCTTTTCACATCAGATCTTTTTCAGAGCTGATCCGATTGTTCAAAAGACCAATTAGTGGAAAAAAAATCTGAATTGGGCTGCCTGTGTAGACGCACCCTATATAATCACTTCATTTGATCTCTGCTCTGGGGTTCCATTACATTTTCAACTTTGACCCCTGAGCTAATGATGACATTAGTGGGGTAGGTAGAGGTTTCCCCTAACAACCCGTAGTCAGGGATGATATTATTTTCACAACTTCATGACAGTAAAGGTTAGGAACGGGATAGGTTCATCTGGCTAACTTCTACCATGACCTACTCTACCATTGGCTGTATCTCAATGGTTAGAAACGGCTTTCTTTTCTCATCCACTTCCCTTCACGACCATTGATTGCAAAGGGCTTGATAAATTACAGCAATATGTTGAAAACGTATCTGGTCCTATCTAGGAAAGGAGACAAGGAAAGGAAGCTTTTAGGCTAAGGGTATAGAAATGCAATGTATAGAATAAACATAACTTCTGGAAGAGAAGGTCTTTAAAGATGTTTGTTCTATATACATTTTCTATAACATTACATTTCTATACCCTCGCTACGCTGCACAATTCAATACTCGTTCAACACCTGCTCATGCTTCCAGGTGATTTTGATGTACTTGTTCAACACACCATGAAATATCGCAATATCTCTGTGTGTTAATTTAATATAACAAATAATAATACACTTTACTCAAAGTAAGTGCTTTTCATTAACGGCAAAAATCTCATCCACTTCACTGTGTCAATTCAATTGAACTGTTGATAGGTCTATTATCACGACCATAGTAGTGCTTTCCCACAGGCTTCCCTTAAAAGGCAGAACCAAAGTGATAGAGGGAAGACATTTACATTCAGTAACGGTACTGAAATCCATTATCGAGACCAACAGGCGCTCAACGACTAGCTAGTACAAATCACTCAATCTGTCTCTCTCTATCGGTCTCTCGTTCTCCGTTTGAATCTCTTTATGCTTCTCTCTCCCTTTTCATTGTACCCCCTCTATCTTTCAGGCAACACATTGATTCTCTCTCCTCAATTCAATTTCAATTCCAATTTCAATTTAAGGAGCTTTATTGGCAAGGGAAACATATGTTTACATTGCCAAAGCAAGTGAAATAGATAATAAACAAAAGTGAAATAAACAATACAAAATTAACAGTAAACATTACACTCACAAAAGTTCCAAAAGAATTAAGACATTTCAAATGTCATAAGTGCAAATAGTTCAAGTACAAAAGGGAAAATAAATAAACATAAATATGGGTTGTATTTACAATGGTGTTTGTTCTTCACTGGTTGCCCTTTTCTTGTGGCAACAGGTCACAAATCTTGCTGCTGTGATGGCACACTGTGGTATTTCACCCAATAGATATGTGAGTTTATCAAAATTGGGTTTGTTTTCGAATTCTTTGTTGGTCTGTGTAATCTGAGGGAAATATGTCTCTCTAATATGGTTATACATTTGGCAGGAGGTTAGGTTTTACTTTATGTTTTTACTTAATTTTTTTAGCTACATCGGCCTTTCTCAATAGCAAGGCTATGCTCACTGAGTCTATACATAGTCAAAGCTTTCCTGGGTCAGTACTCTCTGTTTAGGGATAGCATTCCAGTTTGCTCAGTTTTTTGGAGAAATCTTAAAAGTAATTATCTTTTTGTTTTCTCATGATTTGGTTGGATCTAATTGTGTTGCTGTTGCTGTCCTGGGGCTCTGTTTGTGTTTGTGAACAGAGCCCCAGGACCAGCTTGCTTAGGGAACTCTTCTCCGGTTCATCTCTCTGTAGGTGATGGCTTTGTTATGGAAGGTTTGGGAATCGCCTCCTTTTAGGTGGTTGTAGAATTTAAGGTCTCTTTTCTGGATTTTGATAATTAGCGGGTATCAGCCTAATTCTGCTATGCATGCATTATGTTGGTGTTTTACATTGTACACAGGGGATGTTTTTGCAGAATTCTGCATGCTCTCTCTCTCTCTCTCTCTCTCCTCTGACAAACAGAGTTGGGGGTTAGCGGTAGCATGGGGCAAAAGGCTAAATACAGAGGGCTCCACAATGAGAATGGGCTGATTTATTTACTACATACTAACTATTGTACACACACACATTACACACATGCGTTTACCAACACACACATACACACGCTGCTGCATTATCTAGTGGTGTGTCTATGCCGGGAGAGAGATCTGTCTCCATTTAAGCCCCTTTATAATGACCCCTTAATGTAAATACAGAAGTCACATTCAGCCATCTCCATGACTACAGGCACCACCCCCCTCGCCCTATCCGTACATCAATCAAACCAACAGCTGTCCTTTACTAGCTGGTTAAGGTGACAGACCACGCCCCCTCACAGGCCCTCTATTGTGGACAGAGAAAGAAGCTGAGTTGTCAAGGTAACAACAACAATCCCCAAAGCTTGAGTAAAGTAGGGAGTGTGTGTGTGTGTATTGTTACGCACATGAGTGTAATGTGTGTGTGAATAATGTGTGTGTGTGTGTATGTCTCTGTTTCCTGTTGATCCCAGTAGGCTTTACTGCAATGGTAGTGAGTAGAGTTAGGGTCAAATTGATTTAGGCTCTTGTCAATTCCAGCACATGAACTTGACATGCAACTGTATTGGAAAAAGCGGCCTCTCCATAGCATAGCTGTTGTTCCCATTTCAGTTTGCTGTGAATATATTTTTTTAAATGGCCACCATCAATTTCCAGCGTTTTCTTTCTCAGGCTCTTATGGTAACCAAATCAATCATTTATCTCCGTCGGCCAACATCTCATGAATACGAAATGCTGTGTACCGCGTCAAGGTTTCCTAGTCGAAGGAAGAAGCTTAAACCGTTTCCCTCGCCGCTCGGCGGCTGAAACCTCACAGAGAAACAGAAGATGAAAATATGAGTGTTGATGCTGGAATGTTCCAGCGTCTGGGAAAGAGAGAGAGATAGAAACTAACAATATGGAAGTTTGATGTAACCCCGGTACTTGAAAGAGACTCGGACAGAGGCTTCGTCGCTGCTTTATTCAATATTAATTATATCTAAAGGCATTTCAGAGCAGGGGAAGAGATCGAAGATTTATAAAATAAAATAAAAATGAGACAGGCGAGGCGAGGATGAGAGAATTCCCCTGACTCTCAGAACTTCTGCCAGAGACTCTCAGCAGTTTTTGACTGGGAGCGAGCTAGACTAACGTAGTGTAATACTAATGGGTAGGGAATGACAGGGATAGGGTGGTATGCGTGGGTGATGGTATGTGGGTCATTATTGAATTACGGTGGCATTTGGGCAAGGAATTTTGGAAAACAGTAACAGTAATTTGTGTACATCTTCCCATTCTAAATCAACTAACATGGTAGCTGAATGACTTTAAATAATTGATACCATTACGATAACATTGTGCAACCAGTAGGAATAGTAAGACCAATGATGGTAACACCAATGAGACATTTGAGATAAATTAGGATTTTCTGAAATGGAGGCTTCATATGCTCAAATCTCTGGTCATCAAGCCTTCACAAACCATTTACTGAAGGGATTTGATTAATCATTTTGCTTACAATGTTTTTTCCTTCATTTAAATTGACTAACACCAAGTGACACTTTGTATTTAGACGCACCAAGTATGGCGCTGCAGTGGATAGCGGCCATTTTACGGGCTCCCGACCATTTCTGCTATTTTGTGTTTTTTTTAATGTTAATTTTAAC